GCTTTTTTCTTTTTGCTTATGTGGTGCTGAGGAATCGAACCCAGGGCCTTATGCATGCAAGGCAAGCGCTCTACCACTGAGCCACCTTCCCAGCCCAAGAAGGTAGTTTTATTGCACTTAAATCTTGACTGGGAGATGTTCTCGTGGTAAGTTTTGCTTTCCTTGTGCATTTTTTTCCCCAAGGTCTCCTTAGGATTATTAATAAAACAATCTAGAAAAAACGATCAGCCCTGTTGTTTAATGGAGTACTGTACTAAGCTGTCTGTGATTGTGTGACAGTGATTTCATTATCTGGGCCATTCTTGGCCTTCAGAGAGTAGGACAGCTCTGAGACTCCTGAGAAGGAGTAGACAGTTCCTTGGAGTTGGAGTATTATCACTTATATCCCTTCCTGAGCACTAAGGCAGCAGAGTATGGGAGTGTTCATGTGCCTGGCCCAGGGCAGCACAGACGCCCCAGGCTGGCCCCGAGTCCCTCGCTCATGCCCGGGCTGCCATGCCGAGTAACTTGGTTTGTGTTGTTTTTGTCCCCCAGGAGATCAATGAGACCAGGAAGAAGCACGAGACACGCTTGGTCGAGGTGGATTCAGGGCGTCAGATTGAGTATGAGTACAAGCTGGCGCAAGCCCTGCATGAGATGAGGGAGCAGCACGACGCGCAAGTGCGGCTGTACAAGGAGGAGCTGGAGCAGACCTACCACGCCAAGGTGAGCACCAGGCCCGTGTGGGTACCAGGCCCGTGTGGGCACCAGCCAGAGCCAGCGCCAGCCAGAGCCAGCGCCAGCCACCTGGGTGGGCGGGGCCGGAACGCACCTGCTGTGGCTCTAGTCTCATACTCTCCACATGGGCAGAAAACAGATTCGCGTTGAAATCCAGTTTCCTATATACTAAATGTGACTAGAAATGACTAGAAGTGAGTAGCTACTCCAGTTTGGTTACACATAAGAGTTGGTTCTTTTGTCTCCTGGGTCATGGGTGTCTTGACAGTGGCTGATCCCACGTGGTCTGCAGTGGCTTCTTCCCGTGGCAGCTGCCCCCTGCCCCCCCGCGCCCCCTGCACGTGTCCTTTAGCAAAGGAACATCGCCACACTGCTTCTCGTCTGACATCTGCAGTGGACGCAGATCGTGAACACCGCTGGGCTTCGCTGCCCAGGGGCCCCGTGGAAAGTCTCTGAGAGTTCTCTTTCTGTCACTCTTAAGCCATTTATGAAGTACTACAGATACATCCCACTTGTGCTAGCCGAGCATTTAAGGTTGGGAGATGATTTTATTCCTACAGGTGTTAAATATTATGTAGTTGAGTTAAAGAGGGTTTCAGCATCAGGCTTAGAAAATTAGGGCCATGGAGATACTAACAAATCATTTCCATTAGGCGGTGTTAGAGTCTTTGTGCTGGGGTTTATGAGGCAGCAATTGGCTAGTGTAAATGGAGATGCTGGGGATATTACCTTTCGCTGTCCAACCCTTAATGTGCTGGTATTCAGTGAGATAGCAAAGGAACTAAAGTGTGGTCTTCACAGGTTGAAGCCTAAAAGAGAGCCAGGGAAGAAACGAAAATAAAGGGCCTCAGGCACACGCGCACACATGGTGGGCGTCTAGAGGGACTGGGTGTCATTTATACCCAAGAGGCTATTTTTCTTCCAAATATCCTTGAAATAATCTATTCTACAAACATGGCCACAGTCAACCTTCTACTGCCCAGTTTCCTTATTAGTGTGTTTGCCTACACTACACACTAAATGTTTAGTGAATAAAGTACTGAACTAATAATCTTTGGGTAATGACCCGCATTTATTAATATCATTAAAAGTTTGTATTTGAGGCAGTGAGTGGAAAAGGTCGATTTAGGGAAACCCAAAGCACGTCAGCAAACTTGCTTTTCCTGTGTTTCATCAGCCGGTTACCAGCAGGACATGAGTTTGAAATGTTGAGGTAAATCGTGCTTCCTCATTTGCTAGTTCTAATTCACTAGGTGGGACTGACGGGCTCATTGCTTCTTGTAGCTTGAGAATGCCAGACTCTCCTCAGAGATGAATACTTCCACTGTCAACAGTGCCAGGGAAGAACTGATGGAAAGTCGTATGAGGATCGAGAGCCTCTCCTCTCAGCTTTCAAATCTGCAGAAAGAGGTAAGCAACCAGCTTCCTTTATGACGAACTGCATGTAGCCTAGGAGTCCATCCCTGCCCTGGTATTCTACTCTCTTTGCCTGCCTGCTTTCATTACTGTGTTCATTACCTAAGAGGAGGCATTCTGCGCTCTGCTTTGTATAAGCATCCTCTGAGTAGATACTGTTGCTCCTAAGGAGCCAATTGTGTGGCCCTAGGGGCCCTGCTCATGTATTCACTGGACTCAGTCTAGCATCTGGGTTTTCTGTCTGCTCCACCTGTTGGCCTCATCTCTACGGAGTGCTGGTTTCACGTGTTCTTTTTTTAATTTTAATTTTTTTATTGTTTATTGATAGATCCCTTCATCCACAGTGGTCTTAATTTCTCTGATTGAACAGTGTGTCTTGTTTAGTATTCATTACTGGCAGTGGATTTTCTGGTAAAGAATACTTTGATAACTGTTTTCACCAGCTCTCAGCCCCCTGAGTGGTTAGGATAACAGTTTCTCAAGTTGGGTAATGAGCACATTTCTTCTGGCCAGTGTCATCCCTTCCCTCACACTCTCCCTGTTTTCTCCCATTACCCCCCCCCCCCTCCACACACACCAGTTGTAGAGTTCATGTTCCACATAGTGTCTAGTGGGGACCACTGCTGCATCTGTTCACCGTTTGGCCCTCCGTTTTCTCAAGTTCTTTTTTAATCATACCTGGGAACCAAAATGAATAAGATGTGCAAACATTGTTGTGGGTGGTGAGATGTCTTGTGTTTTTACACAGATGATCTTTATGATTACATATGTGTGGTAATTAGAGCCTTGTGAAGTGTCATGAATTCCTCTTACTAGAATTCGGTGGTGTTGCTCATTCTTGGTGTACGTAAGTAACAAATCACTGCCGTGCTGCCTGAACCGCAGCAGCTGCAGCACGTCTGGTGCACCCTGGGGCAGTGTGGGCAGGTGTGGCGTGGTGTGGCGTGGCCGAAGTCACTTCCACTGGAGGTGCCCGCATGGGGCCGGCGCGGAGCACGCACAGCCCCCGGGGACGTGCAGCCCGGGTCATTGCCTGGAAGTAACTTCAGCTCCCGTTTTCCTTAACAGAAAATTGTGTTTTGGGATTTCACATGAGAACAAACTTCACATTGTTTTACTTCCAATTAGGCTTTATGTCTTCATCTTCGCATTTTGTCATTTTATTTTTAGTTAAATATTTCACTAATTCTAGAAGAAGACATTCTTCTCTAAACGCAAAGTGAATCTATGAACCAATGTGACCTAAAAAATCAGTATAGAAGCTTTTACGTTGCCTGTTATGTATACTTCATTACTTGCAACCAGAGATTCTAAGTTCTTTTAGAATTAGTTGCCCTGGCAATATTTTGAAAATTTCAAAACATTGCAGTATACTGCAAAGCTTTCAAAAGAGTGAAGGCGGGGAGGGCCTGGGGTTGAGTGACGAAGCTCAGAGGTGTGAGTTGGGTGCTTTGCGGGTCGGGGGCCGCAGGCTCTGCGCATGCTCTCTCCTGGGTCTCAGCTTCCTCTGAGACCTCACTCTTTGAAAAAGAGTTGGGAGTTTAGCAGCTGTTTTTCTCTGCATCATCTTAGTCCTTTTGGGCTGCTAGAGCTAAATATCACACTTGGAAGCCTGTGAAGAATAGAAATTCCTTTTTACAATTAGCGAAGGCGAAGGACTAGTTGAGTGAGCGGGCAAGCACGTGAGCAGTATTTGCTGATTTCTGCTTCACGGTCTCAGTGTGTGGTGTGAGAGAGTAGAGGGGCTCATTCTTTGAGTGCTAATTCCGGGCAAGAGGGTTTAGTTCTCTTTTATTTTATCTAATTATTGAACAATTAATTTATGTATTTTTGAGGGTGGGCAGTTCTAGGGCTTGCACTCAGAGCCTCATGCTCTTGCTTGGACTTTTTGCTCAAGGCTGGTGCTCTACCACCTGAGCCTTGCTCTGCCATATGCCGCCTTTTGCTGGTTAATTGGAGATGAGTCTCACTGACAGACTATTCTGCTTAGGCTTCAAACCACCATCCTCAGGCATTTAGAAGTTCACCCCTGGATGACTGCAGAAGCTTCTATAGTGACACTTTACAAGCATCTGTCTAACGCGCTGCTGACTTGCTAACAGCTAGACTAGACACTTGCACTGAAGCTGTAATAAACCAGTATTATGTTACAGACTGTAGAGCAAAATAAAAATCTAGGCTCATTTGAAGTCATTCATAAAGTTTGAGTGTCTTGAGACAGGATCTTAGAGTGATAATCTAGTTGGATCTCTTCATTATGTTAGAAATGTGGACTCTGGTTTAGGGAGTTTAGTTCCAGCTCCAGGAGAGTCCTAGGCAGCTCTGTTCTCCTGCTTCACTCTTTACTCACTCCAAGAGGAAGTGGAACTATGACACTTACAATGCAACACCATACAGTGTAGCTTCAACATTGTTACTTCTTAAAGAGCTCCACGTCTTCAAAAGCGGGACATCTCAGCTTCCCTCACCATCTCGAATAAGCATGTCACTGCAAGTCCCCTTATGGCCTGCTCTTGTCTTCTACCTCCCTTGTGTGAAGTAGTGAAGAAAAGGCATTTTGACTTTCGATTAGCATGGGAAATGAATTCTAGACCACAGTGTGGTTTTTGCAAATACAGCTTTGTACAGAGTCTCTGAGATTCAAGGACTTTTTCTGCTGATACTGGGGTCTGGATGCTGACCTTTAGCTTTTTACTCAAGGCTAGGGCTCTACCACTTGAGCCACAGTGCCACTTCCAGTTTTCTGAGTGGTTTATTGGAGATAAGACTTTCCTGCCCCAGGCTGGCTTTGAGCCATGATCCTTAGATGGAAGCCTCCTGAGTAGCTAGGATTATATGTGTGAGCCACCAGCTTCCGTTTTTGTTTTGTTTTGCTTTAATATAAATTTAAATTTTTTATTCTTAAACAGTTTTGGTTTATAGTTTCATGGAATGAGGAGTTCTTGCATTTGAATGAGTTAGATTCTGTAGGGCTCTATTTGTTTTCTTGCTCGGGAAATGGTTTAAAATAGAGCTGCCTTGTGCTAATGTTGGGGTGTTCCTAGAAAGTAAATGCGTGTCTTTGAATCTGAAGTCTAGAGCATGTTTGGAAAGGATTCAAGAACTGGAGGACATGCTTGCTAAAGAAAGAGACAACTCTCGGCGGATGCTGTCTGACAAAGAGCGAGAGATGGCAGAAATCAGGGAGCAGATGCAGCAGCAGCTGAATGACTATGAGCAGCTGCTGGACGTGAAGCTGGCCCTGGACATGGAAATCAGCGCCTACAGGAAGCTCCTGGAGGGCGAGGAGGAGAGGTGAGCGGCACTGAGGAGGGGCACCAGGCCTTGTCTTTTTAATCACAAGGCGACGTGAAGTAGTTTGTCATTTCTGTGTAAGTAGTAGAGTAACCGATTGTGTTTGTACTCAAGTAGAAAACAGTTGAGAAAAGTCATAGTATGTGGTTGCAGTGATTAGTTCTGCTGTTGGGCAGTGCTAGGATTGGCTCTTTTCTTTCAGGTTTTAAATGTTGTGGCACCTTACTGTGCTATATACTGAAAGAGGTATTTCAAGCCTGTTCTGTGATTTCCTTTCTTTGTTGTGGTGATAGGGTCTCGGATAGGCAGGCTGGGCTTCATTTTGCTAAGTCTTGCGTTTTTTTCTATTCCTGTGCCACATTTTCTAAGTGCTGGGATTACAGGCATGTACTACCATGCCCAACAGTCTATGAATCCATTCTCAGGAAAGAGCAACGAAGGGAATGTGATTTAGATCTTTAAAAAGCCAGTCGTATTCAGTCACGGCATCCGTTCTGAGCAATGGCTGCGCTGGGAGGCGTCTCCAGTCCCTAGCTTCTCACTGGATGCTTACATCGCTTTTTCATAGAGGAAAGAAAAGTCAAATTATGATGATTTTTCAAACAAAATTGATGGTGGATATCTTAGCCTAAAAAACGTGATCCTGGGGCTGGGAGAGTATCTTAGTGGTAGTGCGCTTGCCTAGCATGCTTAAAGCCCTGGCTTCGATTCCTCAGTGCCACATAGACAGAAAAAGCCAGAAGTGGAGCTGTGGCTCAAGTGGTAAAGTGCTAGTCCTGAGCAAAGGAAGCTCAGGGGCAGTGCCCAGGCCCAGAGTTCAAGCCCCAGGACTGGCAAAAAAAAAAGGAAAAAAGAAAAAAATGTGATCTTGGTTAAGCTGCTTATTGGTATTGCTTAGTATCTTGTTTTAGAAATGTCTGTGTGGGGTCTTAGGATTTTTTTTTAAATGAAGGACGTGCATTTGTATGTATTACCGGAATGAAACGTCTTTATTTCCCCACATAGGCTGAAGCTCTCTCCAAGCCCTTCTTCTCGGGTGACCGTGTCCCGCGCGTCTTCGAGTCGCAGTGTCCGCTCCACTCGCGGGAAGCGGAAGAGAGTGGACGTGGAGGAGTCGGAGGCCAGCAGCAGCGTCAGCATCTCCCACTCCGCCTTCGCCACCGGCAGCGTGTGCATCGAGGAGATTGACGTGGATGGGAAGTTCATCCGCTTGAAGAACACTTCGGAGCAGGTAAAGGGATGCATGGGCCGGGCATGCCCCATCATCCCTCCACTGCCCCCCCCCCCC